TGCGTAATCTTTGTCCTGTTCTCTTATCTTGGATTTAAGTGAAATTATAACATCATCTATTTTATCCCCCTTTTCCATCAAATATGTGTTGTGTTCTACTAATTCGTCGCGGGTCTCCAATAGTTTTTTCTGTCCTTCTATCTTACCTCTTAATTCTTCACCTTCTTTCTGGAGCTGTTTTATTTGCCCCTGATACTTTTCTTCCAAGGCATCTAACTCATCCTGAAGATTGTTATTTTCTTCTGTCTTCTGTCTAATCTGATGTAAAATTCTTTCATGCTTTTTTTGCAAGTCCTCCTCAGGTAGCAGTTGTTTATCCATCTTCCTGTGTGTTTTTTAAATGCAGGTTATTTGCAGTAATTTGTCAGAGCGTCTAATCCTACCATTGTAAACAGAAAACTGACCCGCGGTGTACTTACTGAGCCTGTTACGTCATAGTGACGCATCAAAGACACATAGAACGATACGCCCATCTGACTATTTTGCGACACGCCTCTCGTTCCATTTCGCGGGAACGCCCATCGCACTGTAATCGTTAAGGAAGTCACTAGAATGGGACCGCGTGGGCGATTTCTATAATAGATTCCACATTTTAACTAAGGTATTATCTATGTCCTCATAAGCCTGTGCCTTAAAGTGACGGTAAAGGCATTTTGTCGCACAAAAGTATCCGCTGTCAAAGGCTAAAATGTAGAATTTGGTGATATAGATATTTTTTGCAACCACTGATCTCTCTATTAGAATAACTAAATAAAGAAATCAGCGTTGGTAACTGGTTGCACTTCTTTAAAATATTAACAGAGGCAGTGGTGTTATTTAAGATCAGACATCAAGTCTGATCCAAGGAGGCAGGGGCGTCAGCTGAACCAATACTATACAGGGGCACAATAGGGCACCAAAAAAAAAAAAAAAAAAATGGGACAATTATTAATTTTTAAAAAGCATGGGCACAGATAATTAATGCAAGCATGCGAGCAAATATTTTTATAGTACTTATTTATTGTTATAAAGCGTCATATGTAGATTGTACAATCAGATTGTTATTTTCTGCATTGTTAAATATCTACCTGAATCAAACTGAATTGAATTGGCCCACTTGTGAACTTAACTGTATATCTCTATTCCACTACTGATGAAGGTACAATTTATCTTCATTAAATACTTGAAAAAACTTAAACTGAAAATTTTAAATGTGCAACTGTAAAAGGAAAAACAAAAAAACACCTCTACATACATACATGTCTATTTTTGCTCATCCTATGATGGTGTGATGGCGATGATCATATCAGGTGTGTATATCATGATGGGAAAGATGGGAGAGCTGTATGTTAATTTTTTTAACAGTAAATGGTAGTGTCTCGGCCAGTGGCAGTTGGTGGAGTTTTCTCCAGGGGGCGCTATAAATTCAAAATAGACGTATACTAAAAACCAGTCAAACATACACTAAGTTATCACACCAGTATATTTATATGAATTGCCAAGAACAAAAACATAAAAAAAAAAAAAAAATTATTTATGAAGCTTTACATTTTGTCCATAAATATTGCCCCTCTGAGGCTTTGTGAAGTAAAATCTGTTTTTTACATGGTCCAATAAGGTTTCAAAAACCTAAAAAAAATAATGTACCAGTTTAAATTTGGAGAATCTATTGCCCAGCTTTATATTTTTTAATATATAAAAACTATTTGTTCTCTGAAAATGTGTTTATATAAGAGCAACTATGCAGATTGAGAAACATTTATAAAAAGTACACTATATTATATTATTTCCCATGTGAATCCTTGATGTTTATTCTTCTTTGCCTTTTCTACAAAGTGCTTTAAATCAGTCCTAACTGTCTTTATCCATGCTGGGTTAGATCCTGATGTTTGAAAAAGGGAAAGCAGGGTAAATCTACATGCACTTAGCCAAGCATTCTTGCTAAACCAGGTCCTGGAAAAGGACTTTTCTTGCCTCATCTTTCTCTCTCTCTCTCTCTGGTGATCAAATACACTTCCTGTCATCTTAGGGCTGCAGCAGAGCTATGAAAGTGGAAAATTAATTACTAAGAAAATCAGTGCCTCAGGCACTGCAGATCCACAACGTGCCCCTGTGAAAAGGGTCTGCTGTTGCAAGGAGGTTTATTTTATAGTATTTTATAGTTTATTCTTATTTAGACAATAACAAAAGTTTTACACATTTATCATAAAATGCCTCGAAACAGCTTATATGCGAGCAAATACATGTAGAATAAGAAAAACACACAGTTTCTGGTGCTGCTGAGGCTCCACGTTGTCCCAATGAATTACTTTTACATTTAAATCACTGGATAAATACATTTATTCATTAATGGGATGGACTAAAAATGCTAATAAAAGTATGTAGTTTTGAATAAGCTTAAAACTAACTCTGATGCAGATAACAAGACATACACCGGCCGAAAGAAATTAAACAAAAAAAAAAAAAAAAAGCAAACCAAATAAAAAAAAAAAACAAAAAGAATAATAAAAACATATTACATCATGTTTCCAGAGCATTTTCCTGTACAAAAAGGGTTGGAGCTACTTTGGTCAATGGATGGAGAAAACTCAGATTTAGACTTGTCTTATGATGACGAACCCATCCTGGATTCAACCTACCAACCATCCCCACAGGGCAGGGCTCCAGAGCTGTATGCGTCTCTTTAATGGCCCCCTTGCAGCTCCCTGAAGCTTTTTCAAAGATGTATGAAAATGGAAAAAAGATTTTTTGTTTGTTTTTTGTGTGCAGGAGGTCAAACAAACAATCATTATGTTTCCAGTGCTGTAAAAATGTTTATAATAAATGAATACAAATAACAAATGTAAAAATGTCTGTCAATGAAGATGACGTTAGGTTAATTGGCTTCTCTGAATTGTCCTTAGCTGTGAGTGTGTGTGTTTATGTGTTGCCATGCGACAGACTTGCAACCTGTTCAGGTTGTACTCTGGCTCTTGCTACTGGAGATAGGCACCGTCCCCACTGTGACCTTGACAAGCACTAAGCTGGAGAAATTGGACAGATGATATAAATATATAAATTTATTCAGTAGATGGAAGTGAGCATTATTGATGGGAAAGTAGGCCATTCTTGTGCATGTGGGGATTTTCTAGTTCCCTTCCATAATGGTCCACTATTTTCTCCATTAATTGATTGACTGATTGACTCTATTGATCTCACAGTGGAGAAATTCACTCGTTATAGATAGATATTTATATATATAGTTATTGCACGGGGTATCAAATGTTAAATTGCACATTATACGTTGCACAAGTTATTGCCGTTATAGTGTTGCATTGTAGAGTCTGATGGAAGCAGGGATGAATGACCTGCTGTAGCACTTCTTTTTACAGACAGGGTGTAAAAGTCTTCCACTAAAGGAGCTGCTCAGCTCCTCTACAGACTGGTGCAGAGGGTGGAAGGTGTTGTCCATGATGGATGTGAGCTTGGACAGCACCCTCCTCTCAGCCACTTCCTCCACTAATTCCAGAGTACAGCCTAGGACAGAAGGGGCCTTTCTCACTAGTTTGTTCAGTCTCTTTTTGTCCCGTTTTGCGCTGCCAGGCGCCCAGCTGACGACAGCGCAGAGGAGGGCTGATGCTACCACAGAGTTTTGGAAGGTTTTAAGCAGGAACCTGCTCACTCCAAAGATCTCAGCCTCGTCAGGAGGTGGAGGCGGCTCTGGATTTATGAGCCCAGTCTGGACCTTTAATGATTAAATCTGTTAACTGCAACCGTAAATTATATTAAACAAGTATGGAAATATATGGATGGGTTATTAGGATCAAACAGGGAGTAATAAATGGAAAAGATAAATAAGACCTTAAGGACTGGGTATAAAATAACATTTCACGAATCAAAATATTGTCAACAACATACAACAGAATGTATTGAATCTTTTTAGAAAAGAAATTGATTAAATACTGCAACTTCATAAAATGTGGAGAAAATACAGCAAGGCAAATACTTTCCAGATGCCTTGCAAATAATGTAAGGTAATAATCTGATTTTGCATCAATATATGAAAAGTCTTAGCAAATATCTTGACATTTAATTAAAAATCCTTACTTAAACTACTTTTTTTTTACATAAATGTAATAAAAATGTTTAAAACAATATATTTTTCTGGGTTTTTAGTATTTCATTTACTTTAACATAATTATTTATTATTATTTGTTAGATTGACATTGAATATAATTGAATCCAGATGCAGCAGAAATATACACAGGCTGCCAAAGGCATGTTGCAGATCTGAATTGCCACCACAGCAGAGCTTACACAGCACTGGCAGCAGGTAAGATGGTTTTCAGTGTAAGGAAGCCATTAGGGAGAGATTTCTATTATGCAGGAAGGCTGCTGCAATGATTTTCTCCCATGAACCCGGGTTCAAACACCTTTAATCAAAGGTTAATTCCACCTCACTTCCTACATTGTTGATAGGGGTTTGTTCTCATCCAGCAGCTTTGTGATAAATCTGTCCAAAGAAACTTCAAAGAATAAAGAACAGTTTTTTGTTTTTATTGCTGATTAAGTATACATACATATGCATTCCCCTAACAAAACTAAAATGTCTGACTTAGACAAGAACATGATATAAAAAGGCGTTATGTAATTTTGTAATACACAATATATAGTTACTGTACATTCAAAAGACAAGGGGAATTATTGGCAAAACAAAGCAGTATTTAAGATTCACAAATGTCATCAACGTCATTCATTACACCAACAGTGGAGTTACTTTTTCACACACAGTAAATCAACTTTCCCAGCAGGATGTTTCATTTTTTTATTTCTCAGACAGCATCCCAATGTTTCAGTCTGATGTACAATGCGAGAGCAAAGATAGGAAAGCCCTGCAGATAGTTTCCATGAGGAATATTAAACATTTCCTGACGCCATGTCTTCATTAGAACTGATCTTGCAGCGACAGGCTGTGATAAATATTCAGCTGATTATGTGCAGCTGTCACCGATCAGCTTGCCCAGAATGATCTGTTGTTTTTCTCCTTACGTTTTCTGGGCTCTCTCCTCCACATAGAGCTGCATCTGTGAAAGCCAAACAAACAAATATGAGTAACAGTAAACAGATGCATTTCAGCACACAATATGGAGGACAATACAGAAAATAGCATCACAGGAAGAAGCCTTAGGATGAACTGCACATTAGAACCCAGCAGGGTTTTCTGAAAGTTTTTCCTTTCGGCTCACTTTAACTATGTCGGACGTCATGGACTTCAGTGGAATGAGTCTGGGCTCCTTCATGTGAACTTCCTGCTCATCAGCGACGATCCATGGAAAATCCTGCAAAGACGAATGAGCATAAGTGACTAAAATCATGCAAACAGTTGCATATTCTAGCAGCTGACTTCATTAAGAGCCTTCATCTGCGTACAGCGCCTCCTAAAAGTATTTTCATCCCTTCAAACTTATTTAAACGTTTTGTCGCATTCGAATTAGAATTTTTTAAACTGTTATGTGATCAACCAGTGGCTTACAAACTTCCTTTTCCAAAGTCCAATTTAGATTTCTATATATGGTCAAAGGTGAGGATGGTAAGTGAAGTAGCACTTTAAGCACAACTTAATTGGGTTTAATGTTAAAAAAAAAGGGAAAGAAAAAAAGAAATTGAATTTCTTTTCAATTGAGAATAAATAACAAATAAGCTGAGCCAGAAAAGAAACAAAACTCTCAAACAATAAACAACTGAAGCTGGGGTGGTTGATTGACATACAATTTTTAATTCTTATCAATACATAATCAAAAATAAAGTTGGAAAAAACAAAAAGAATTCTTACAACAAAGTAGTCAAAAATGTGCAACTGTATCCTAAATGTATCAATTTTTTTTTATGTTAAATTTTTCATTTTTTTAAATATAGGAATTAAGGGTATAATGAAGTAAACAGATATTTTATCCCTAAACAGCATCATAAAGAACAGTTGAATAAAAATGACTCAAACTAATTGTAATATTTTTTCGCAAAGTTCTTTAAAATCTTCCTCTTAGTCATTTATTAGTGTTTTCATTACACAAAGAAGTAGCACACATCTCAGTACAAATAAGTAAACCTTCACTGTTGTAAAGAAAATCTCTAAATACCACACCACTGAACCTCTGGATGCCTTTTATTTGGTTGTTTTAGGATTTGTTTGTGTATATTTGTGCTGACGAGGAGTAATTTTTGCTCCCAGGGAGGTTCTGGGTGGTCCTCTTTGCTTTAAAGGAAAAGTCCGGTCATATTCAGAACACAAACTTCTGAAAGTACTTGAAGTATGAAATTGTTAGATATTTTTCAATAAATGATGAGTGTTTTTAATTAAGAGTAATTTAATTTGAATGTGCTTTACTGGAGACATCCAAGTTTGTCAAAGAACACTACTGCCACCTACTGGTTTGTGACATCACGGTGCGGTATCAGCTGTTGAGCAAGTCCCAGTGCTGTATCTGGTGTTTGTTGCAACGCTCTATTATCCATGATGGTGACGACCAGTGCACTATACGAAGCAGTGTGTTGGAGTTATTATGATTTCTGTTGTTTTTATCATTTTATTCATTTATATCTTTTATATTGCTCTCAATCATTTGTTTTTCTATGTTACTCTCATCATTGAAAAAAGTGTATGAAGGCCATAAGACAGTCCAATGTTTTGCAAGAATGCTTTCCTGTTTTTCATTTGAGAAGCAGAGAAGTGAAAAGTCATAACCCCGACACCTTGTGTAAAGCGTATACTGAAACCAGGCAAGTTCCCTATCTTAAAAGTTCATGCTATGTCTAAGAGACTGCGTAATCGAAACTAACTCCTGCTGTTGTAATGTGTTGACTGCTCAATAAAAAGCCTGGCAAGTGTTGAGGAAAGCGGAGATGCAGAGATTGACAGTTCAACTCTGGACTCTCCTATGCAAAGCATTTTAGGAAAAATCTTACACTGTCTTTGTTTCATTTTTTATAGGTTAAAGTTAGGAAAACTTAACAACCCTAACAAGTGAGTAACGGATTAAGGACGTGTTTTTTTTCCTGGCCAGAAGTTCAATGGCAAATCCTCCCTCTTCAAGTTGGAAATCCAACGACCAGGACCGCAGTAACTCGTACGTGGACGATCATGAGTCTGAAAGGTGAAATAACTAATTTTGTTTCACTTTTACTTTATGTTTTGCAACAACCCACTGCCATGCACGTTGGCATTGTCAGTTTAACTATAGCTCTTGTGAATTTCAATGGCGAAGTCTTCTGGAAATCATAAATAATTGTTGATTGCAGATGTGTCTAGTAGTTCTCATTGATTTGGCTTGTAATGATTGGCCTTGGCTTACCGCACTGTGACGTCACTGCCGGAAGATGTCAGGAGTGAGGTGTTACTATATTTCGGCAAAAATGGCCGCTCCCAGACTCAGTGATTGTGACGAAAATTATTGTTTTTATTTTTTTACTGATTAACGCTAAATTGATTAAATCACCGCGATCGTATTAGTTTTAGGTATAAATAATGACCCAGTGGTTATTCCTTGCTGACCGGACTTTTCCTTTAACCCACTGTCCGTCTAGTTCTATGAAGCAGTTTCACTTCACTAACAAACATTAAACACAGGTTACGTTGGGGTTGATGTTTAAAGGACTGTCTGACAGAAAGCCTTTAGAAAACAACCAAATTGCAAATCCCACCTTTTAGGTTTGGATCTATATAAAAAAATCGCAATATAAACATGGAATAAATTGAACGTAGAGATAATTTCACCAAGAACTGCATTGAGTCCAATAACAGCTCACCTTAATAACTTGAACCTTCTCCATGTTACGTGTGGCAGCATCTCTGGTGTGCACAAGCACCGTGAAAGAACAACCTGAGGCAGGAACAAAACGTTTCACTCTTTTCCACATTTCAACGCATCTTTTCTTTTGTCCACCCGTTAGAGCTTCTAATCCCCCTCATTGTTACCTGGTGGGTTGTTGTTTAAAACAGCATCACACACGCTGATCTTCAGGATGAACGCTCTCAGCAGCTGCTCCACGTGTGACAGCAAAGTCTCTGAGCTGTTCCCATCAAACACAGCGGTTAGTGATCAGAAATACCCCCCAATTTGATTTCACAGAAAAGCTGGAAGCAAACCTGATTGAGAGGAGAGGAGGTTGGGAAATCTCAAAGACAAATCTCTCCACTGGATGATGCTCTTTGTCCATGATGACCACCACCACTTTCTCTGCATCGTTCTAAAGCACATAGATAATGATTTAGACTTAAATGGAAATATCATGAAAACTGACAAACAGAATTTTGTTTTGTAAAGTTTTCATGACATTTCCATTATTTAAAGTGCAGCATTGATCATATGTAAGCAGTGCGGCAGAAAAAACGTGGTGCAAAAAACATGCATTGATATGGAAGTTCAGAATATTAGATATATATGGTGCAATAATGCANACTGTCCGTCTAGTTCTATGAAGCAGTTTCACTTCACTAACAAACATTAAACACAGGTTACGTTGGGGTTGATGTTTAAAGGACTGTCTGACAGAAAGCCTTTAGAAAACAACCAAATTGCAAATCCCACCTTTTAGGTTTGGATCTATATAAAAAAATCGCAATATAAACATGGAATAAATTGAACGTAGAGATAATTTCACCAAGAACTGCATTGAGTCCAATAACAGCTCACCTTAATAACTTGAACCTTCTCCATGTTACGTGTGGCAGCATCTCTGGTGTGCACAAGCACCGTGAAAGAACAACCTGAGGCAGGAACAAAACGTTTCACTCTTTTCCACATTTCAACGCATCTTTTCTTTTGTCCACCCGTTAGAGCTTCTAATCCCCCTCATTGTTACCTGGTGGGTTGTTGTTTAAAACAGCATCACACACGCTGATCTTCAGGATGAACGCTCTCAGCAGCTGCTCCACGTGTGACAGCAAAGTCTCTGAGCTGTTCCCATCAAACACAGCGGTTAGTGATCAGAAATACCCCCCAATTTGATTTCACAGAAAAGCTGGAAGCAAACCTGATTGAGAGGAGAGGAGGTTGGGAAATCTCAAAGACAAATCTCTCCACTGGATGATGCTCTTTGTCCATGATGACCACCACCACTTTCTCTGCATCGTTCTAAAGCACAAAGATAATGATTTAGACTTAAATGGAAATATCATGAAAACTGACAAACAGAATTTTGTTTTGTAAAGTTTTCATGACATTTCCATTATTTAAAGTGCAGCATTGATCATATGTAAGCAGTGCGGCAGAAAAAACGTGGTGCAAAAAACATGCATTGATATGGAAGTTCAGAATATTAGATATATATGGTGCAATAATGCAATGTTTTGGTTTGTTGTTGTCAGTGTGATGCAGAGTCAGAGACATGATTAGGAGTTTTTCAGCAGTCTGATGGTGGTGGGGAAGAAGCTTTTTCGGATTCTGCTGAACCTGCATTGAATGCTGCAAAGCCTCTTCTCAGAGGGCAGCAGGGAGAACAGTCCATGGTGGGGAAGGAGGAGCCCAGATGATCTTCTCTGCTGTTCTCACCACTCTTCTCACCTTCGTCCAGTCTGAAGCGCTGCTGCCTCCACACCACACAGTGAGACAGCTGGTCAGAACGCTCTCTATGGTGCTTCTGTAGAAGGTGGTGAGGATGGGTGGGGGCAGGTGGGCTCTCCTCATCCTCCACAGGAAGTGCAAAGTGCGCTTCTGTGCCCTTTTGACCAGTGAGGTGGTGTTTACATTCCAGGTGATGTTGTCTGTGATGTGCACCCCCAGGAATTTGGTGCTGTTGACCACCTCTACAGCTGAGCTGTTGATGACCAGTGGAGCATGGTTAGGCTGGTTCTTCCTGGAGTCCAGGATGATCTCATTCGTCTTCTCCATGTTCAGGATCAGGCTGTTATCTTTGCACTAGTCCACCAGCTGCTTCACCTTCTCTCTATAGTCTAGGTCGTTGTCGTCTCTGATGAGGCCCACCACCAAGGTGTCATCTGCAAACTTCACGATGTGATTGGTGGTGAACCTCGGTATGCAGTCATGTGTCATCAGGGTGAACAGCAGGGGGCTCAGGACGCAGCCCTGAGGGGAGCCTGTACTTAGGGTGATGATATCAGAGGTGTTCTGTCTGACCCGGACTGATTGAGGTCTGTTGGTGAGGAAGACTAACAGCCAATTGCAAAGGGTTGTACTGAAGCCCAGCTGTTCCAGTTTGCCCACCAGATGCTGTGGGATGATGGTGTTGAAAGCTGAACAAAAGTCCAGGAACAGCATCTGCATGTGGGTGTTCTCCTCCAGGTGTGCCAGGCTCAGGTGGAGAGCAGCAGAGATGGCGTCCTCAGTGGACTGGAATGCATCGAATGTTGGGGGGAGACTGGAGACGATGTGTTCTTTAACCAGCTTTAAGTCATTGAGTGAGGTGACCTGAGGGTTCGTTGGGACCGAAAATATGGTGGCAGAATCAAAGCATGCAGGCACCATGGATCGGTCCAGCAAGGTGTTAAAGATGTCTGAGGACACCAGCCAGCTGACCTGCACACTCCCTGCCCAGGTATGTTATCTGGGCCTGGGGCCTTTTATGGTAAGTGGAAACTAAGCAGAAACAGCCTGTCATCATTGGACTCATCTTACCTTCTCAATGAGCGGCTTCACACAGTGTAACGTATCCTGGATGTATTGATTCAGCTCAGGGTGACAGGACATCTGGAAATGATTGTACCAACCAGAAGAGCAGGGTCAGACTTTTCAAACAGAATAGCCTTAAAACTAACTCCTGTGCATTTCTATAGAAATCTTTACCTGCACAGGTACATTGTATTTCTTCCTCTTCTGGAAGATTCCAGAGGGATAAACTTCACGGACGTAGAGGATGAGGTGAATGGCGACCTCCAGGAACTCGCACAAAATGTCAGCAACCACTGAAAGAGAGAGATAATTCCAATCAGGCCACTGATGGGACCGTTATTTACCAATGAACACAAACAGACAGCACTAAGCCTACTCCTGTTCATCTTTAATATCACCAGTATCTAAATATTAATATTCAAGCTTTTCCCTTCCATAAATCTTATTAGAGTCAGACTGATAGACTGATCAGGCGGCTGATATTTGTGTTTTTTTCTTGTATTGGTATCAGCCAATATGCCTGTTCATCAGTGCCTTCAGCAGCCACACCTTGAGACTGTGTGAAGAACATGATTGCTGCTTCCTCCATTTGTTATCTATTGTTAGTGTGTTGTTTGCTAATAAATGTCCATTTTCTTTACAATGAAACTTGTTGTTGATTTTGTCATTTTATTATGTAAATGGAGAAAGAGAAAGCAATATTGACCATAAAATCAGCAGCACTTGTCAGGGACTAGATAGATCGATATCAAATAATTAGTCAAGCTAGAAATCTTTAAGCCAGATAAACAACCAATTTAATCATGCATCAAAATGTTTGTAAACGTACATTCATATCTAGATTTATTGCAATAAATGATCTTAACTCATTTAAAGTACAGAACAGCATCATTAGTCCTGTACTGAAAGGCAGACTTTCTATATTAGTTAAATGTTACAGAAAAACAGTTTTAATGTATTTTAAAAAGCTTTCAAGTGAAAAACAAACATCCTTGATAATTAAGCTCCACAAAAGTGAAATAACTGAGTAAATCTATTTCTATGAAGGACCTTTTTATCTAATGCTCCAAAATAACATCTACCGGTAGTGCAGCAACCTGCTATCAAAATGAAGCTGCATTCAATTTAAACTTTGTTTAATTATCATGATAAAAACTGCAATAAAAAAACAACGGTTCTGTTAAGAGTTTTCACAGGTCAGGGAGGAAGTTAGAAAAGGATTTAAGGATGGGTTAGGTTATAAAAAAA